TCCGGCGGCACGCCATCGATGTTCTGGGATCGATTTATCGCATCTGGTTAAGACGCGATAAATCGATCCTGGATCGATCCCAGAAGTGCTCACAGTCGGCGCCGGTACTCCAGCTCGCCGAGAGGAGTACGCGGCGTTGACGGGGGGAGACTTCCGTCCGCGTCTGGACCGCGGTAAGTTCGGACTAAGGTACTTCGAATTCAGCTACGTTATTAACGTAGCTGAATTTGCGTACCTTAGTCCGAAGTCCGGACTAAGTGGGGACCAGGCCTTAGAATAGTTGGAGTGCAGATTTAACCCAGGTACTCTTCCATGCCAGTAGCTGGGAGGGTGGGGATGGTAGCATGAAAAGCCAAAATCTTGACTGATAGCTCTAAAGTAATCTGAACACTTCATCATATTGGCAGGGTAATATCTGAGTTCAGATTATGAGATTCATTAGATGAATTTTTGGTCTTTTAAAAAAAATCTGTCTGACTCTATGCTCATTTTGAAACACCTAAAGAAGATTCTAAATTATGTAAAAAATGCTAAATTATTTATATCCAAATGACAGTCAGTGCAAGTACCCCAGCTGAGTTCTGACATCTCCTGCCTTACAGTGAAGATAGTTTGATTTCTGAAATGTGTGAAGCTGCTGCCTCTGTTTCCTGATTAACTTGTCTAATTTGTTGGTACTGATATTCTGTTTAATGGGCAATTCTTGCATAATACTAGTTATGCTATATATTGGCCCTGGACCTGAACCACATAGAATATATTTGCAACTTTCTATATGTCACTCCAGCTTTTCCCTTAGACTTTCTTCCACAAGTTGTGTTACAGTTCTAATACAACACATAGCAACTAGAGACATATGACATTCAGGTGGAAGAACTGGTTCTTTTGGTCCCCATTCTGTATGGCATGCCCAAGTGATGCGGATGGGAGGAAGGGACAATAGGCTGTGTGAAGTATATAGCACATCTAAAAGTGCATGGAAAAGGAGCCAATGTACTGCCTCTTTCCCTTGTATGCTACCAGAGTTAGGGTTTTGCATGGATTCATGGTGCAGGGAAAAGGAGAGTTCTGTAGGCTACATTGTAATCTCAAAAGATATCTCAGTATGTCTGGGTCATGGGATAAGCCAGTGATTAGGAGAAAATTGTAGGCAAGTGCATGTGAGCATCAATTAAATTATTCTATGACTTGTGACATGAATTCAGTGTTAATGACATTAGTACAATGCTTGTAATGTTAGTCATTTTTGTTGTAGCAGTCAGATGGACATAGATGTGAGGGGTCTTGGCAGGAGCAGATGTATGGGTAATTTTGAAAATTGTTTGAAAAGGAGAGGCAGCAGTTTAATTTGGCTCATACTGTGAACTGGAAATAGTGACCTACTGCAGAACTGATTGATTTAGTAGGAATTTGTCTCAGCTCTAAATTAGGCTGGGTTAGATGGTGGTGGTGGCCTGGACAAGTTAGTTTTCTGTATACAGCAGACTGGCAGTAAAATTAAATGGAGGGCCTGTGTCATAGCCTAGCAGGTCCCTTTAGGTTGGACTGGTGGTGCTTTGAGGGCCTTGTCTTAGTAGGAAAGAAGGTGTGTTCTTAGCTTGAGTGAGCTAACAAGGTAAGACTAGTGAAGACAGGCAGCTTGTAGTTTTCACACAAGTTAGTTGGCTGAGTAAAAGGACTAGACTCTCCCACTAAAAGCCTGTCCTGCCTTGGATTAGGAAGCAGTAACACTTTGTAAGGCCATCATGTATGAAATGATAAAACTTCTGTTAATGTGTGTGAGTCATAGGAGCTATGTGCCACCATGCAGAAGTGGTAAAAGCAGCACAGGCACGTAAATTACAAATACAGCTAAAGCCTTAGTGCTATTAACACCGCCCCCCCTTTCAGATATTAAAAATCAGGAATAGGGGAAGGGGTGATATTAACATCAAATGAGGGGAAGACACAGAAGCTGGGGTGGAGGGTATCTGGAGGACAGGGGTGTGAAAGTTGGAGCAGGGGAGAATGGAGTGGAAGACGTGGCTGGGGGGGTTGAGACTGTCAGGCAGGGAAGGAAGCAGGAACAGACAGATCCTGTAGACTGGGGACCCAAAGTGTTTGCCAACAATCCAGCTGTTTGAACTGGCTGGAGGAAGGAACTGCAGCTGGCTGGTGAAAAGGGGTGGAGAGAGAAGGAGGCTATTGAGGGGAGAGGGAAGGAAGGAAAGGGAAACGACTGTACAGAAGTTGGCTATAAAGAGGGAGGTCTGAGTGATGTAATTCACTGAAGTACAGTAGCAAGCTGTTCCTGGCATGCCAGTAAAGGGTTTAAAAAGTAACTATGTTGTATGATCCCCATCAGATCACAACCCTGCACAGGTATGAAACAATACCCATGCAAAGATTAGAAGTTAGGGAAAAGCTGAAGTATTTGATATGATGCCTGGGAAACACCATGGAACTTCCTATAGAAAACACATCACAAGACAGGATTGCTGTAGGTAGCAATATAAACATATCAATAGCTGAAGCAGCTCTACCCACAACTAGTGTAGGAGTGTGGCATTTACATGGACCAAAAGGGGATTGGGTTGATGGATTGAACAGCAGTGTGGACCAACATGCGTCCCTGTTATCCAGCTGCAGGCACACATGCTGGCCTATATAGGGTATCTGCAAGTTTGAGCTTAGCCATACTAACCGTGCTGTGCCACATGTGTGCTGGTCAAAGGGTGTGCTGTGCCATACCCGTGATACGCCATGTATTTACATACTTTTTCATGGATTTCTGCTGCTCCTGGGCTGTCTTCCATGCAATGGCATTGTGTGGTCCTGAACCAATATGTTCCACTCATTATGATTCCATGGGGCCTGGGAGCGTGTGATGGCCAGCTGCTGCTGCATCTTGAAAATACCCACATTTACTGTATTGTCAGGAGAACAGACAGAGAAAGATATAGAGAAGTTCAAACTGTTGGGGAAAGTGGAAATCCTATAAACTTTTGAGTGAAAACGGTTCACCTTCAGCATCTGTATTTTTGGTTGTTACCCAAGTGTTGTTAAAAAAAAACAAAAAAAACAAAAAAAAAACAACAACCAAACATTATCATGTAACTGTATTTTTGTTACTACTAGAACAAAACACTACATTTTTATATTGTCACCAAACCCCCTTGATATAAATAAAGCTCTGTGTTGTTCTGTGGGTACATCTTTATTTCTCTCTGTATTTCATAAACACTAAGAAAATTGGATCATTGCTTCATAGCTACTTCTATAGTTGGTTTTACTCTTTGAAGTCGTTCTTTCAAAGTTCTCTTTCAGACTGGCATCATCATGATTTAAATGCACCATTGACTTGATCTTACCACCATTGAAATGTACCTATTGACATTGATGGGAGCAGGATTGAGCCCATAGGCACAGTTAATATAGAACTTTTTTAAATGGTCTCATTGTCTAGTCTTACTACTTTTACTATTTAAAAGGGTAGCTTCAGTGAACCTCACAATATCATATTTTAGTTTAATGCCACCTTATTTGTAGAACTACATCAGTTTTAATTCTTTACCAAAACAACTTTTTTAAAGCTCTTCAAAAATGATCTGCCTGCAAACATTCATCAGAAACTGACATGCCATTCTGAGCTACAATCATTATTTCTTAGTGCTGTATGAGGGAGTTGGAATTTCTTGTCTGTGCTTAATATAGTATTGCAGAGTGTGGGCAATTAGTGAGCTGGTTCTGCACACTGACAAAGGAAATTCCTCTTAGTTTATTTCTGTTAAATACTGACATATTTCAACCTGTACTAAAAGAGAGGACAGTGGACAACAGCAAAGAGATCACAATCAAAACAAATGACTCATTTCCTCATAAAAGAACAACAGTACTGAGTATTCTTCACACAATGGCCCAGAACACTTCGGTAATGCCGTTGCAAGCTGTAGCGTTCGAGCCATTATTGTAGATTTCTGTCATGTTTTAAAGCAGTGTAGGTAGGACCTTATAAAGTAACAATGATTGTGTGATGAAGGCATAGGACCTTGAGTCCGAAAATCTGGGTTCTGTGCCTGACCCTGCAGCTGACTATCTGCACAACCTTCCTTAATCACTTAATCTTTGTCTCAGTTTCCCCATTTGTCAAACACGGGTAATAATAGTGATTTTGTTCAAGGGGCACTCTGAGGCTTAATCCATTGATGTCTGTAAACTCTTTGAATGGAAGTTGCTCTATAAATGCATTCCTCTATTGTTTGCATGCATTATTGTATTGTATGCAAATGTATTATTAGAGTTGTTGAAACAGCTATGAAAAAAACAGCATGCAGAACAAGCAGAAGATTTTCCTTTTTCCTTGAGATTCTTTACCAGCCTTTGTGTTTGTTTGTTTTGTCTTGAACCAGTGCTGCCAGCATGAATTCCTTAGGGTAGTGTCTAACAAAGATCATTCCCCTGGTGGCTCATTTGTCATCCTCTTGGCTACATTAGGAAGCTTTAGCTCTCACAAAGCCTTGTTTCCCGTGTTCAAACAAAACTGTTTAGGTGCTGATTCTGCCAGCCTGGCCAAGAGTCCAGTCTGTGGAAGTTGGGAGGGGGGCGCCTCGAAGTGCACAGTACCTGAGTGAGTCCTGCTGGCATTCTAACCTGAATGCTGCAAAGAAAGCAGGAAGAAAGCAGAGGGAGAGAAAGCCAGTGACATGAGATGACCGCACCTCGTCCTGCATATAGGCGCGCGGACTGGGAGAACGAGCTGAGCCCACCCCATAGTGAGTGACCATCCAAGCTCCTTCTCCCCCGCAGGGTGGTCCCAAGGGGGCCGTGCGCGCTTGCTTCCCACAGGTGGATGCTCGTGCCGGTGCCTCTGACTCCCAGGTGCGGCAGACGGGGCTGGCGTGGCTCGGGAACTGGCTGGAGCAGGGGCACGCGCGTTCCCTGCTTGGGGAGCCGCTGAAGTTTGGCCAGCCAAGGAAAGGGCCGGTCACAAGGGGAGGGGCCGGGGGAGGTGTCTCCCTCCCGTTAGACAAGCTCGCCTGGATTCAGCAGCCAGCAGCTGTCACCTCCGCTCCTCTGGGGAAGCCGCCTGCACCCCAGGGAGGAGGCAGCGCGGCTCCTGTCCTAGAAGCCACCGTGGGGCTTGTTAAGTGTTCCCCAAAGGTGGCTGCTGGAGAGGAGGCGGAGCTGAACTAATGCCAGGGACCGTGGCGGCGGCAGCAGCTCCAGCCCCTTCACTGCACCAACCTGCGGGCTGGCTGGAGAGAGAGCCCAGCCCCTCCCTCTTCAGCAGCAGCGGAGCAGCCGCCGCTACCACCTCCCCGCCCCGGCTCTCTCCGGCCCAGGGTCCCAGCCAGTGCCGCGAGAAAGCGCCTTGCGCTGCGCCCGCTCCGGACTGCAGCTGCCTGCCGGCGGGGGCAACAAGCCGCAGCTGCATCTTGGAGCATCTGCTGTCCTGAGTCCTCCTGCTCCCCTCCCAGCTCCCCCCTCCACACCTGCAGCTCTTCTTCCCCTCCCCCTCCCTTCTGAATTATTTCTCCTCCTCCCTCTTTTCCTCCCCCCCCACCACCTGGTGCCTCCTAATTCCTTGGTTTCCTCTGGTTTTCCTTGGACTCTGCCTTGTCATGTCAAGATGGAAGTCAGGCATGACTGGCTCGCCTCTTCCCCCCACGAGGGCTTCGAGCAGCTGAGGCTGAAGAGCCGCCCCAAAGAGCCATCCCCGAGCCTCCCCAGAGTAGGTGCCAACTTCTACAGCACTGTCAAGCAGCAGGACTTCAGTGCCAGTGTCTGGCTGAGGAGGAAAGACCAACTGGAGCATGTAAGCCAGCTTCTGATTCCCTTCTTTCCTTTCCCTGCTGGGTCTCCTCCAGCAAAGCCCAGGGAGGAGTGAGGTGTGAGCTTCAGTGATCTGTTGGCGAAATTCCCAAAGGGTAGAGGAGGAAAGAAACTAGCCAAAGGTCCCGAAGCGGCCCACCGAAGTAAACAGCCTGTTGGAATATATTCCCCAAACCGCTGTGTAAAATGTGAGTGGGAAAGTTATGTGGAGCCTGAGAAGTTATTGAACATCCTTGCATTATTTCCCAGCCTCCTACAAACTGAGCACTGAGAGTGGAGATGTATTGGGAAGGTGGCACTGGGGCTCACTGCTGTGTTGGCTTGTAATTGATCTAATATAGACCTAGGACTGTTTAAAAGAAAACATTAGTCTAGATGTGATTTTTCTCTTCCTACGTGGGGCTTTAAAATGTTAACTCTGTGTAGAGTCCAGGAGGTTTCCCTGAAGGATCAATTCCTGCAGCAGTATTATATGACTTAAGGATGTGTCTTTGGGGCCACAGCAGATCTGATGCTGGGGATGGCTGCAGTGAATATTTCATGAGGTTTTGAAGTGCTTGTAAGTAGTGCTGTGATTCATATGTTTTAAAGCAATGTTGTTGTTTTGCTTTATGTAACTTTTAAAAGCAAGGAACGGAGTTGAAATAAATTGCATGCTTTTTAGATGAAGCTCATAGTTAGTATGTAGTACAAGCAAAATAAGGAGATAGACGCATATAGATAGCGAAGCAAAAGAGACTGAATGGGTTTACATATTGCAACAGACTGTAAATTATTCACCAATGGAAAGGATGGGAGACAGTGACATACAGTTAAAAATGACTGAGATACATAGAAAAATATTACATTTGATGTAAGCCATGTTAGGGTTTATTTCAGGTAGAAATCCACTTATTAAAAGCATAACGGACCTATTGTTGCATGAAAATTATAGATAGTACATTAACACCTGTTTAAGATGAAACCTGAAAAACAACTAGTAGATAAGGTGTTAAATTTCCTTTCCACCAAATTGTATAATATAAAAATATTCCTTTTTAAGTACTTGTACCTGTTAATGAAATATTAAATATAGGTTGTGTTTACAATTCTACTAAAATCACAAGAACTGATGAATTGCTGGAAATAGAATTCAATATTTCTCAAAATATTTGAAATGTTCTGCATACCTTACTACACATCTCCCTGATTCTTCACACTAACAACAAGGCTTCACAGTAGTAAGCTAGTAAGCTGAGTGTTTTCCCATTCTGAGTCAAAAAGAAAGGTCATTGCTTTATCTCAGGAGGGCTGAGTGTTAATACATAAAAAGCACAGAAATCTAACTATTGGGTTTGTAACTGGTTTTACATGTAACTGGTTCTACGTGTTGATTGTCTTTTGCCAAGACGTAACACTACTACCCCATCTATAATCAAACAACACATAATTAGACACTGTTCTGGTATCTGAACATTAGCATGCCCAAATATATATAAAATACATTTAAAAAAAAATTGTCCCATAGTATTGCCTAGGATGGGCTAAATAGACCTTACTTGTTTGAAAAGAACAAGTGGATAGCCCCCACCCCTTTTTTTGTGTGCTTATTTATTATAAAGTCTGAACTTGGCATAGTAATCTGAAATAGAGCTGCAACATCAATGTGAAAAGGTTTCCTGTAACCATACATATGAATGTATGTCCTTTGGGAGACTACATTCTCATTTGAGCCAGCTATTTCATTCCCATAGCGCATTTGAACGATGTTAAGAAAAAATAATTGGAACATGGATATTCCTTGCACACAATGAAATATTTGAGTACACATTTAATGGCTATGTTTATTATGAATAGATTGCAGTATACTGTATGTACCAAGTGTATACATGTAAAGTACATACTTTATTTTTATGATTTAGGATAATTTTAACACTCATGAGTGGTGGACTAGAGACACAAATTGTTACATACCTCACCTCAATGAGTATTTAATCCCAAATTCATGTGTTTATTGTTTATAAAATACCTGGTGCCATGTAATTATTGTCTGTTTTTAAAGAGGTGGTTAGTGCTTACTTAGCCTTTTCTGCCCCCCCCCCCTTTTTTCTTTTTCTTTTTTTTACAAAGGGTAATACTTTGAGTTGCATCATTTTTAATGGCCTGTTCACTCATGTAGTGATGTTTCTGATTGAGATAGGATACTGTAGGTATACATGCTGCATGATGTAGATGGAGAATATATATAACATTTTAGTTTGCCACTTTCTTCTGATACAATCATGCTATTTAATCTGTGCTAAGAAAATCATTCCACTTAGGAATGAACATACTTATGTAAACCATCTATGGCTTAAAGCAAAATAGATATAAATAAAATTGATACATACAACAATGGCAGATGCAGGTAAAGGAAGATTATATAAACACAGATATGCACACACTCACTCTGGCGACATAACATTTATTTAAATAATGCTTCCAATAGAGTTATAACATTTATTTAAACTGATTTCAATGGAGTTAGGGCAGGGATGAAGTTGTATAATATGTTATACCTTACTTCTGGAAAAATTGCTGTAGATCCCAAGGATATTGTATATTGACTTCTTCGGGTTACCAGCAAGATTTATTGACCAGAGAAGTTTCATTGAAGTCAATATTTATCTTAAGAGGCAGAAAAACAACTTAATGGAATTATGAAGTAAATATATGTGTTACTCAGAAATACTTATAAAACTCTTATGGTTATCAATTTCAAAACTGTAAAAGTTTTTTCTTTTAAACTAAATTGTAAAGTTAGAGGTACAGAAAACAAAATACTATAAATATCCCAAGCTTTATATGGAACTCACGGCAACCCATCAGAAGGTACTCATTTACAATTCATCTGATTTCTTAAGTGACTTCTTGTTCCATCTCTTACCACTACTGTCTGATCTCCAAGGAGATAAAGCTCTAGAAACATATTGCTGACTTGACTTCTTTTACATTAGTCTGGATTTCCTTCTTCCAAGCTGTAATGATATAGATTATGTTACTGTTAATTTGACAATTTTTCAAGTCACATCAGATTTTAAAACAAGTCACTCATATTCTGTTTCTTGGCTAATGACCAAGTACAGCAAGTACCTCAGCACATGCCTAAATTTAAGCAATTTAAGTCCTATTAAAGCTTAAAGTTAGACTCATGCTGAAGTACCTGGCTGAACTGCGGCCTAAATGCATCAATACACTGCATTTTAATGGGTCAAAATGACATAATGCTAGTTTATAGTTTAAAAGGGGGGATTTTTCCAAATGAAGACTATAATCAAAGAACCTTGTCTTATGGGACAAGGTTCTTAAATCCGTATTAGAGATATTTCAATTCAGAATCAGGGTGTAATGAAATCCCTCACATTCTAAGTATCTGGTTTAGTCATTTTCTAATGCCTCTTGTGAGATTATTGGCCTGGTAAGTGACACAACTGATTGAAGACTTGTCTGAAATCCTTAGATCTCTTCTTTGTATAAGTATTCTTTTTAATGGAAAAGGGTCCCCTTTGCCTCCATCCCCTATTTTATCTTTTCAGTGAGATTTGAGATGGAGTAGGGAGGGGAGGAAGATAAATGTTGTGGGTGACCTCTGAAAGTCCTTAGTTGTGCTGATAACTATCTGCTGTTGGGTTAAGTCATGGCAGTTCTTCATATTCTCTCAGCAACCTGGTTCCCTCGGTAACAACAACAGAATATATTTATGCAGCTCCTTCCATATGGGCATTGCAAGGTGCTTTAGAATAAAACCTGTTTAAAATGATCAATTTTTAAACCAGACAAGAGCAACTTGAAGGAAATGTTTCTTGAATGTTTTTTTAAAATGTGTAACAGATTAGAAACTGAAACTAGAAACGTAGTTCTACAGTTGTGAAGTATTATGGAGTCACCCTAATTAAGGGTGCATCAAGGTTTGCACTTAAAGCAGGGGTTCAACCTCATTGTTTTGTATGATAAATACAGTGTTTCCTTTTTTAAATATACACATGTAATGGTGAACAAAGACTGCATTTTCTAATGATTTAGAAATAAACTTGATGATTATTTTTTGGGTTAAAATTTAATTAAAAATGGGCCTCAACAGTTTTTGTCTTCAGATTATAACTTTTTTTGGGGGGGCCTGGTAGCTAAAGAACCATTGTCCCCAGGGAGCCAAAAATCCTCTCTTGCACACACATACATGCATTAACACTACAGCTCTTGATTAAGCTACAATAAAAAACAAAGAACACAAACAACAGCAAAACATTAGGTTGTAATTAAGCAAAGTTAATAACAATGGCTGTATCATCTTTCTACAGTTTTACTCAGAGCTAGATCAGTGGCTCAAGTCATTCTTAAGTTATGTAATTGTGACATCGGAGGTAACTTACCCAATCATCACTATTCCGTTAATTTGCATGCTGCAGTTTTATTGGCTGCAGGGAGGGAATTGTGTGGTAGGTGATGGGCTCGGAGTTCCAACTCGCTAACAGTAAGCCTTCAGATGTTTTGCAATACTGTGGCTGAGACATACACACAGAGCTAAGAAACTAATATTTCTCTTAAGTTTCATGGCCATAACAAAATTTAAATACTTTACATTAGGCTACATTTCACCTCTGTATTAGTTGAAATTTGACCTTGACAAATTAAATTTTAATGATTGTAAAACTATTTAAAATTTTCTTTTAAGCAACTGTTTGTGTCTAACATCTGTCATTACATAGCAAAGTACATGCAATGGAAAACTAGGCAATTCATAAGCAAACTACTTTGAGAGATCATTAAGATAACATCAACAACACTTATTAAAACACATTCAAATGAATAACAGCATTCTTCATCTAAGGGACTGATGACATATGCATAACAATAACACATTACATGTTAACACATAAGGGGAATGAAGGTCCTGACTCTGATTTCTGAGATATATCACATCACAAAGCAGGAAATTCAGAGCTACAGTAATCCACAATAACTGTG